GGGTCTGAAAGCAGGGGGGGAAGGGACACCCGTCGAGGCTCGGCCATGGCTGTCACTGCCGCCCTCGCCAGAGAAGGAACCCTCCAGGGTCGGAAGCCTCCTGGGCACACTCCTCCACCAACGCCCCCACCGTAACGAGACATTGGGGAAACCAAAAGGTACCGATACCGCTACTCCCCCGACCTCTCCCGGGGTGCGCTCTGACCAGGATTTCGAGGCGAATGCAGCGGCGGCGACGAGGGCCTCCCAGGAGGCCCCCAAAAGGGGAAAGCGAGGGAAGGGTAGAGGTATGGGTACCTTCTCCTCCTCTGCGTAACGAGACGCGCCTCGGCCCACGGCTCCTCCTCCTCCTCGTCCCCCTCGTCCTCCTCGTCCCCCTCGTCCTCCTCGTCCTCCTCGTCCTCGTCCTCCTCGTCCTCGTCCTCCTCCTCCTCCTCCTCCTCCTTTCTCGGACGCGCCTGCCCCGGTGGCTTCCAGCGGCTCGTTGCCGGCAGCGCCGCCGGACACGAGCGCGACTGCAGAGAGCCGGCGGGCCGCCCGCGCGGGCTCTTGCGCACGCGGGCCTGGCGCCAGCCTGCCACGCTCTGCTCCCGGCAGCGTGCCGCGCACCCTTTGCGGGCGGATATCCCTCGGGCTCTCGGCAGCGTGCAGCTCTCGGCACGCTCTGGAGGAGGAGGAGGAGGAGGAGGAGGATGAGGAGGAGGAGGAGGAGAAGCAGGAGGAGGAGGAGGAGGAGGAGGAGGAGGAGGAGGAGGAGGAGGAGGAGGAGGAGGAGGAGGGGGAGGGGGAGAGGAGGGAGGGGAGGAGGAGGGGGAGGAGGGATGAGGGATCCCTGCAGCTCTCGGCACGCTCTGCTCCCGGCACGCTTGGCTCCCGGCAGCGTGCAGCTCTCCGCCGCCTCCGGCGGTGCGCGCTGCGCGCAGGGAGCACAGCAGAGCCGCAGGAGGGCGCGGCATCGGCGGCGTGGCCCCGCACGCGTGACACATGTGGACGAGCAAGAACACATCAGAGCCCCAGGAGAGCGAGGCATTGACAGCGTAGCGCCAGGCAGCGTGCAGGAGAGGCGACGCCCGGCTCCAGCTCCGCCTCGCCCGGCCCGCTGAGCAGTGGCTGCCAGAGTTCCGAGCCCTCACTCCAGCGGTCTCGGCTTCGCCTCCGCTGCATCCATGTCTGCAAGCGTTCGTGCGAACTTGGACGCGCGTGAGCAACGAGCGGGCCAGAGCAAGTCCAGGGCGGCGCTGCGCGTCCTGACATGTTGACGAGTATTGGCTTACATTCTTCGGAGATCAGAATCAGATTCCAACCTCCCCAACTTACCAACGACCCGCGCCGTCAACCAACGCCTGGAGTCCAGATGACTCTGGCAGTGCTGAACTTGATACGACGATTAGAGCTGAGTTTCACGAACAAAAACACTCCTCTTCCTCCTCCTCCTCCTCCTCCTCCTCCTCCTTCTCCTCCTCGTCCTCCTCCTCCTCCTCCTCCTCCTCCTCCTCCTCCTCCTCCTCTGGCTCCTCCGCCTCCTCTCGGGGAGACGTGAGGCTCGGGTTCGGGGCACTCGCGTTTGCCCGACGGGGCAGTCACGAAAACGACGAGACCCGGCCTGAAATTCGACACGACCGACCGCTGCAAACATCCCACGAAAACAGGACTGTCAGAATTCAGACGGGCGCGTCAAAAGGCGTCGGCGAACCCGAGTTCCTGCGAAGGCGAGTCTTACGCGTCCCCGATCCTGCTGGTCCTTCCCCTCCTTCGCTTCCTCATCCTCCTCCTTTCCCCCTTCCCCCGCTACCCCCTCCCTACTTCCGCTTCTCCCCCCATTCCGCCCCGCCTCCCGCATCTCCCCTTCCTGTTCCTGCTGCTGCTGCTGCTTCTCTTCCTCCTCTTCCATCTCCTCCTCTCCGTTTTCCGCATCCTGCTGTTCCCACTGCCCCTGATAGTCCTTCTATTCGCCCAGGCCCTCCTCCTCCTCCTTCTCCTCCCCCTCCTTATCATGATCATCGTCGTCATCGTCATTGTCATCGCCATCGTCGTCGTCGTCGTCCTCCTCCTCCTCATCCTCATCATCCTCATCATCATCATCATCATCACCATCATCATCACCAACACCGTCACCATCATCACCACCACCTCCACCACTACAATCATCACCATCACAACCACCACCATCATTATCACAAGCACCACCATCATCACCACCATCATCACCGAAATCATCATCATCATCATCATCAGCACCAGCATCATCATCATCATCATCAGCATTGTCATCGCCATCGTCATCATCACCATCACCACCATCAGAATAATCATCATCACCACCACCACCACCTCCATTGTCATCATTACTGGAAGATCTCTTTCCAGTGGGCCATCTGTCTTGTACGAGAGCGACGCGGTCACAACGCGGCGCGAGCTCTTGGGTCACAACGGCACCCAGGAGGCAAACAAAAACGTTCGACCACAGCCCGCAAACTCCGACAAAAAGATGACGTCGGAA